CTCATAAGACACAGGAGAATAAGAGAAATCACCTTCTTTTTGAGCCTGTTTTATTGCTCTTTGAAAGCCAATCTCCCGAAGTTCTGGGGATTCTTTCTTTTTTGAAAAAGAATGATGAAGAAAACATTTACTAGGAGGCAATTTTTCCAGATGATATTTAGTTGCCTCTTCGTCTAACTTTTTCTGATTTTCAGGGGTTAAAGGATCTTCATCAGAGTCATTACTTCTTTCCTTATCCAATGGATTGTTAGATGTTAAATTGAGCTTTTGCTTAGAAGCTGCAACTGGGAATAAGCTATCTTGGGACCCCTAAGTTGGTCCCTTCTTGTCTGACAGCAAGGGAGCTCTCTCTTGAGGATTATCACCCGGTACAGTAAATTCATTTACATTTAATGCCTTGCCTTAATGCACTCCAAATAGAAAAGGCAGAGACTGGCATATTAGCTCCTCCATGGCTTCGATACTATTGTCTTATGTTATTTTTTACCTGATTTCAAGTTTTTAAATTTAATGTTCCTTTATCAGGAAACCATGGACTAACCTCTTGTACAAACAACAAAAACTCAGCCAACTGTGGCTTGCTAGTGTGTAAAAGAACATCAATATATAGGCTATTCTTAGATGGGGAATTTTCCATTATTCTTCCTCCACCTAGGCTCTAAACTTCTCAAAAAGTTCTCATATACAGGCTCCTATTCTTAGACAGGGAATTTTTCATTGTTCTTCCTCTGCCTAGGCTCTAAACTTCTCAAAAGTTCTGACTATTCATCCCCACTCTTATCCCGTCACTCTTTTTTATTTTTTTTGTCTTTTTGTCTTTTTTTCGTGACCGGCAACGGATTGCAACCCTCAGTGTCGCGCCCGTACTGGACCGGGACCGGCAACAGGATCGCAACCCTCGGTGTTGCCCCCGCTCCTCGCTCAGACAGTGAGCCGCCAGTCTGCACATGGGATCCGAACCCTCGGCGGGAGCGCCGCCGCGCTTCCCAAGCGGCGCACTGTAGCAGTGCGCCATTGGGCCGGCCCATCCCGTCACTCTTGACGAGGGGTCTGCAGCACCCTAGGACGAAGGCTGACCTCCCCCAAAGGCAACAACCTTTATACTTACCCTAATTCAGGCCCCACGTTTGCGCCACCTAGGAATCTGTTTAAGCAAGGAGGTGAAAGATCTCAACAATGAGAACCACAAAACACTACTGGAAGAAATTAAAGAGGACACAGAAAGGTAGAAGAACATACCATGCTCCTGGATTGGAAGAATTAACATCATGAAAATGTCCATACTACCCAAAGCAATCTACAGAATCAATGCAATCCCTATCAAAATAGCAATGACATTCTTCACAGAAATAGAAAAAGCAATCCTAACATTCATATGGAACAAGGAAAGACCCTGAATAGCCAAAGCAATCCTGAGCAAATAAATAAATAAATAAAAATAAAACTGGAGGCATGGCACTTTTAAACTTCAAATTATATTGCAAAGCTATTTTAAACAAAACAGCATGGTGCTGACATAAAAACAGACACTTGGATCAATGGAACAGAACAGAAAACCCAGGAATCAACCCACATACTTACAGCTAATTGATCATTGACAAAAGCAACAAGAACATACACTGGGGAAATGACTGCCTCTTCAAAAAATAGTGCTGGGAACATTGGACATCCATATGCAGAAGAATGAAACTACACATGTACCTCTCACCATATACCAAAATCAACTGAAAAAGATTAAAGACTTAAATATAAGATCCAAAACCATAATGCCTTCCCTGACAGGGGGTGGGGGGAAGTAGTCAGTGAGTTCTTGCTCTATTAGTTCCTGTGAGAGTTAGTTGTGTAAAGACAACTGTGACCTCCTCACCCCCCTCTTGGTTCCTCTCACCATGTGATCTTGCATCTGCCAGCTGCCTACCATTTTCTTCAGTGAGTAGAAGCAGCCTGAGGCCCATGCCAGATGCAGCTGTCCCAGAATCATAAGCCAAATAAACCTCTATTCTTTATAAATTACCCAGCTTCAGGTATTTTGTTACAAGCAACAGAAACGGACCAATACAGCATCTATAATTATTGATAATTTATTGTATGTTTTCAAATGACTAGAAGAGAGGAGCTCGAATGTTCTCATCACAAAGAAATGATGAATTTTTGTGATGATGAGATTTGATTGATCATTATACATTGTGTACATGTGTTAAAATATAATTCTGTGCCCCATAAATGTGTACAATTACAATAAATCAATATGTTTCAATTACAAAGTAAAACAAAAAAAATAAAAAAGAACATAATGTTATGAACAAAGAATGCAGTCCCTGAATTAAATGCTGGTTTGTACGAGAGGTGGCATACTATTGTGGTTGCCATGATGGGCTCTGGATTCTGAGTGCCTGAGTTTTAATCTTCTTACTGTGTGACTTTGGGCAAGGTGCTTAATCCCTCTCCCCCTCATGCCTCAGTTTCTTTATGTGGAAAATGCAAGTAGAAAAAAATTAATCACCTTTTTAATGAAGATTACACATGTTATATATGTAAAAAAAAACAACTGTTTTGAATAGTGCCTGGCATACAGTAAAATCTCAGTAAAGTTTATATAGTAGTTTTCACATTTCCATTTATGATCTAATTGCCATATATGAAGTTACACTATGCATTCTGAAGTATGCCATACTTTAGGAATTCTTGTTATATGAAAATTGAATTTAACAAAATTAATAATTGGGGGTGACTACATTTTAAAAAACTACACTTTATTTTCAGAAAAAAATCACCTCTGAGTATTTTCTAAATATTGTTTTTCCAGCTTTATTGAGGTATAATTGACAAATAAAAAATATAGATATTTAAAGTGTACATTTTTTGAGATATTTATACATTGTGAAATGATCACCAGAAATTAATTAATACATCCATCATATCACATAGTTACCTCATGTGTGTGTGTGTGGTAAGTACATTTCAGATCCACTTACTCTCTTAGCAAATTTCAAGATTACAATACAAACAGTATTATTAACCATATTCTACACACTGTGCATCAGAGAGAGCTCACTCTCCTTACACATGTAAAATGGGATGATTTGTAAAAGTTCAAACTAAACATAATCTTTTCAGGAAAAACAATTTACTGCTTTGTCATTTATTTATTGCTGCATAACAAGTTACCCTAAAACTTAGTGGTTTAAAGCAACAACAATTTATTTCAGTTTCTGGAGGTCAGGAATCTGGTCCTGGCTTAGCTGGGTGCCTCTGACTGAGGGTCTTTAACATGGCTCCAACAAGGGAGAATTTGCTTTCAAGCTCACTCAGGTGGAGTTTGACAGGCTTTAAAACATTCACTTTGGGCTTCCGGTCAAGATGGCGTAATAGATGATCCCCAGTGTCACTCTCTCCCACAGATCAACCAATTTACAACTGTTAAAAAAGCAGAGCTCAGGGGAAGAGGAGGAGAGACATATGGACTGCATGAAGGCAGGAGAAGCCAAGATGAGAGAAAGAAAGGATGGACCACTCCTACTATATTGAATCCCTGGCCACTTCAATGGGGGAGCTGGCGAGCACACGGAGCAAGAACTGGCAAAAGCCACTGCTGTTCCTCTCCTATGAAGTTGCTTGGAGGCGGCAGAGGAGAAGAGGGCGTTGGTGGCCCCCAGGCAAGCAAGACCACTAACAGGGTTCCCATGGACCCACATAGAAGTGAGGAGCCACAACACCTGAAAAAAAGGAGCCACTCAGAGGCTGGTGAGTCACTGCAAGGGACTAGTCCATGGCCTATCCCATGGGAAGTGTTTGGAGTATGGGCAGAGGAGAAGACGGGCCACTGGGGGAACACTGGGGCACAGCAAGTACAGCTGATCTGCCCTCCAATCAGCACAGGCCCACACTGTGTAGACTGTGGCCCAGACCAGAGTTCCTACACAACTTAGGTGTTACCTGGTCTCACGAGACCCAGAAGTACATAAAGATTCAACCATTTGGGCCAGCCCCATGGCGCACTCGGGAGAGTGCAGCGCTTGGGCACGCAGCGCTGCTCCCGCCACGGGGGTCGGATCCTATATAGGGATGGCCGGTGCACTCACTGGCTGAGCGCGGGCAGCACCAAGCCAAGGGATTGCAATCCCCTTACTGGTCATGAAAAAGACAAAAAAGAAAAAAAAAAAAAGATTCAACCTTTAAAACCTGAGCTGCACAAAAAAACTTCCCCAGGGAATCAGCAGCAAAGCAGCAATTTAGCTCAACCACAGAGCTCAAGTGCTGGTCCCCACAGGAAGTTCCCCTATTTTAGAAGTAAGCAAAGGACAACAAATTAGTTCCAGTGCAGAGTTTAACTACTGTGAACAGCAAATAATCCAACATGGGAGTGAAAGAAAAAAACAAAATACCCACAGATCATAGAAAAAGTTTTTATTAACTAGTAAAGGTTTCCGTTCACTGAAGAACACCTATAAAACTGAGAAGGACTGGAAACCCCCTTTGCCCCAAAACCACAGAAGGGGGAGGGGCAGGGGCCTCAGCCATGCCCCCCAACACCCACAACCACCCTAGTGATGACCACTGAGCCATGGCAGGAAGTGCCCGGGGCTCCTGAGCCAGGGCACTGGGGGTTGAGGGCTTTAGCCACAGCCCCCTGACATCTGCATTCAGCCCAGCAATAAACAAGCCACCACTGGAAGCCTCTTGGTCTCCCCTGCAGGAATGACCGGGGTGCCACAAGCGTCAACCATGCCCCGCCTTCTTCTCTCACCTTATTTCCTTCCCCCTTCCCCTTCCACCCAACTACTTCACAACAACATCCTAGAACGTAAAAATGGATGGAACTGGGGACCGACCCCTCCTCCTACAACCAGGCAAGGGGCACGCCAAAAACATTACTTCCATGTGGGTGGTCCACCACAGCAACCACAATAGCCATGGCTGCTGCAAAAGTGGCTAGACCTCACAACCATCATGCAGATAGCCTGCCAGCCACTGAGTGCATTGACACAAGGAGAGCCAACAGCAGAGACCAAGGAAGAGAAGAGGATGTCTCTCCATAAAGCCCTTTCCAGAGCAATATAAGAAGCATCTATGCTACAATAATAGTGGGAGACCTGAACACACCTCTCTCAGCATTGGACAGATCATCTAGGCAACAAACCAACAGAGTAACCATTACTCTTTCAGAAGGAGAGAAGAAATCTAGAGTTATCAGAGGTGGGAGGGGGGAAGGGGAGAGGGAATAGGGAGAGACTGGACAAGGGGTATAAAGAATAAGTATGATTTGTAATAATATATA